AAATTGGGAAATAATTTTAAAATATTTGAATATTTGCCAGGATAAAAGTAGTGTGGAATTGTGATGTAGATATTTTACCCTTGCCTTCCCTTTTTATGCTATCTTTCCCACATAGAGCTATCTTTTTAGGTTACAGTGCCTTCCTGCATTTCATCTCTGCCTTATCTAAACTTCAAGAAAGAACTGGTTAATTCATTTATACTGAAATGTAAACACCTTGTAATGTCTCAAATTGTCATTTTGTCGAGAGACAAAGCTTTAAATCAAAAGAATAAATCTGTAGAGTAGAATTTAAAAGAGATAGTGATCAAGATAGTGGAATAGATGGTCCCCAGCATCACTCTCTCCAACAATCAACCAATTTACAACTATTAAAAAGCACTGAACTGCTAAGCTGGGGCCACTAGAGCTCAGAGGAAGAGGAAGAGATACCTAAGGAGTTCATGAAAGCAGGAGAAGCCACGATAAGAGAAAGAAGGGACCATTCCAACCATTTTGAGCCCCAAACACTTCAAGGCTGGAGCTGGTGAGCACACGGAGCAAGAGTTGGCAAAAGCCACAGCTGTGCCCTTCATATGAAGTTGCTTGGAGGCTGCAGGGGAGAAGAGGGCCTTGGTGGCCCCCAGGCCAGCAAGACCACTAACAGGGTTGTGTGGACCCACATAGGAGCGAGGAGCTACAGACAACAAAAAAGGAGCCACTCAGAGACCAGCGAGTCATTGTAAGAGACCGACACATGGCCTATCCCATGGAAAGTGTTTGGAGTGCAGGGGATGGGGAGACAGGCCTGCCTGGGGAACAGAGACACAGCATGGACAGCTGATCTGCCCTCCAGTCAGCAAAGGCCCACTCAGTAGATACTGGTCAGGTATATAGATCTACCAGAGGTGCAGTTTGCTGAAAAGACTCGGGCCCAGACCAGAGTTTCCATGCAACCCAGGTGTACCAGAAATGATTACAAGTTCAACAGTTACAACCTGAGCTGCACAAAAGGCCTTCCCCAGAGAATCAGCAGCAAACCAGCAATTTAACTCAACCACAGGGCTCAACTGCTGGTTCCCACAGGAAGTTCCCCCATTTTAGAAGTAAGCAAAGGACAACAAATTAGTTCTAGTGCAGAGTCTGAGTGGTGGGAATAGCAAATAATCCCACACAGAACTGAAAGAAAAAACAAAAAACCCACAGATCAAAGTTCTGATATTAACTGGTAAAGGTCTAACATGACCAAAGAACACCTATAAAACCTAGAAGGACCAGAAGACCCTCAGCCTCCCAAGTCAGGGTGGGGGTAGGGCCAAGGGCCTCAGACACACCTCCCCAGCATCTGCATCCAACCCAGCAATGGCCACCACTAGAGGCACCCTGGGATCCCAGGTTGGGGGGAGGCCACCAAGTGCCTCAGCCATTCGCCCCCAAAGTCCACATCTAGCCAAGCCATGACCAAGCCACCTCTAGAAGCCCCCTGTTCTCCCCTGCCAGAATGAGGTGAGTGCCACGGGCCTCAACCACACCCTACCTCCTTCTTCCTCCCACCCTATTCTCCCTGCATCTGTTCCACAACAACCTCTTAGAATGTAAAAATAATAATAATAATAATAATAATAGATAAGTAAATTTTTAAAAAGTTAAATAAAATATAAAAATCAGGAAAAGAAAAAATAGAATTTGAGAGGTAGAGGGAAGAACCTTCCCGACCTACCAGAAATTATTTTGTAATATCGGTTATCTGCTTATAATGTCAGCCCCACTGAGAGTTTATTAGTAGCCGTCAATTTATGACCCTACTGGTTCTTGGAGTTGAAAATCTACCTATATTTCCTGTAGATACAATGTTATTATTTGGGGTTCTGCTACTAGACACATTTCAAAATATAAATACCAAAAATGATCTTAAAAATAAAATAACAAAATAAATATGTTTTTACATATATAGTAAATATGTAAATATAAACATTAAATAGAAAAACCCCTCATTGTATTTTTGTTAAATACGAAAATCACTCACGGGGTTTTTTGTTACTGTCTCAGTTATGTGAATGCTTCTTAAACCAGAAGATGGTAAATTCTGAGGGATGGTGCTGATGCACTGATAACTTCCTCTAAGCACAACAGGAGACCATCAGCCAAGTTGCCCTCACTCAAATGGTTGAGGAATGGGATGATCTGTATTTCAGGGGTCACATCAATCCAGTTATTGGAGGGTGTGCAACATTACGAGTTTTTTGTTATTATAGGTTTCTTGTTTACATTGACAAGTTATCTTTGACAATTAAGAAAGGCAATATTGTTTATTTTGATCCTTAACTAAAAAATAACGCTTTGGCCTATATCTACATATATGAAACTGTAAAATAGTCATTTAAATAACTGATTTTTAAAATATTTCCTTAAAATAAGTTAGAATATGTATGATCATTGAATACTATTGATATATACCTATTTATCTCTCCTTTTAGTCATAGTGATTGTTGTGGGAACTTTTAAATAAATGTTTGGATCTTTTTTTTCTTTTGTGACCCACAACTGAGGTCAGACTAGGGAAACCACACCTGATAGCCACTGACTTCCACTTCCCCCTCCCTTTCTATATGCTGGAGGTGGTAATAAGCTAATGCTGACTGAGCAGAGCAGATTTGGCTGAATCTAGTTGTAATTGCCACCAGAGGGAGGAGACTGAAAAATTTAATGACCTCAAAATGTAAGATAGTGATCGTATTAGTCTGTTCCGGCTACCATAACAAAATGTAGATTCAGTGGCTTAAACAATAGAAATTTAGTTTCTTGTAGTTTTGAAGGCTAGAAGTCCCAGGTCAAGATCCATTAGGGTCAGTTTCTGGTGAGGGCTCTCTTCCTGTCTTACAGACAGCTGCCTTCTTGCTATGTCCTCACAGGGTCTTTCCTCCATGCAGTATGTACACATGGTGGAAGAGAGAGAGCTCTCTGGTCAGGGCCCCAGCCCCTGACCTTATTTATCCTTAATTACTTCCTTAGAAGCCCCATCTCCAGATACATCCATGCTGTGTGTTAGGTCTTCAACAGATGAATTTTGGAGGGATACAAACATTCAGCCCACAGCAGCCATAGTTTTATATATTCTTAGCCAAAATCAAAAAAAGTGGCTTAAATGAGTGCCTTAACATTTGTTTTTCTTTCTTGTAAAAGTCTTAGTTGGTCCATCAGCCTGACGTCATCTGAGGACCCAATCTCCTTTCTCTTATTGCTGTGCCATGCCCTAGGATATTGACCGTGCTTACATTATCAGGTGCTAGCTCACTACTACTTTTACCCCATGGGAAGAGGGAAACAGGAAGCAAGCAGCTTCCTTTTAAGACTTTATCTGAAGTTGTACACATTATTTTCACTCATCCCATAAACCAGGTCTCTTGGCCACACCTAGCTGCAAGGGAGACTGGGAAATGTAGCTGAGTGGCCATTTACCAAGGTCAAACCTTGGGGCTTTAATAACTTAAAGGAATAAAGGGAAAATGGATGCTGCTAGACCACTTGTGGTCTCTACCTTAGGGAGTTAATGCACTTGAAATTTTTTATATTTTATTAGTTTATTAGGACTGATTCATACATTCAGGTTTATAGGAACCAGTGAATATCTTGTATATGGCCCCAATTTATCAAACTGTTTGGAAATTTTTTTATATTAATAACTGGAAAACTGATATTGTTCAGGAAGTAACATTCAGGTTTATAGGAACCAGTGAATATCTTGTATATGGCCCCAATTTATCAAACTGTTTGAAATTTTTTTATATTAATAACTGGAAAACTGATATTGTTCAGGAAGTATACTTTTTAAATTTAAGAAGAATATTTAAATCTATTTAGAGAATTATAGTTACTTTTGTCAA